AAAACTAGCTGTTTTCAGCCCAGATGATTTTGAGGATGATGCCAGCACCTGACAGGGGGGAAGGGGGAAAAAGTAAAGTGGGCAGATAGTTCCATACTGAATTTATTGGCCTGAGGTGAGTTGCAGCCAGCAGTTCATTAATTCACTGGGGAAACGAGAGAAAGACAGGCCATCTGAAGTAAAAAACTGTCCTCTAAAAGAGGAACTAAAGACTCTTCACAGTGTCTAGGTTTTTTCTTTTGCATTTTGAACATTCCATTTCTGCACAGTTGCTGACTTTCCTGGTCCACGTGAACCTTAAAGAATGGAGGGTAGGTCGTGTTGTAGAGGAAGAGCCTGATGAAAGCTATGGCTCCTTTCCCCAGAAAAAATGCATTAAACCACAAATTTTGCTAACGATTTTTAAAAGGCCATGGATCTTCTGAAGCCCTAAGGGGCACACATACCCCAGGTTGCTGCTGTTGTTGTTTAATGGCGTGGGAAAATCCAGAAAGGAAAAAGAAGGCTGGGGAAAGTAGAGTAAGTACCTGCCAGGACCCATCCTCTTCCCTTTGCCTTTCCTAGAGACTGGGGGATGAGGCAGCGCAGAGAAAGGAGCACAGGCCTTCAGGTCTCACCACCCTTCTTGAAGTCAAAGAGGAACCACTTTCATAGACACAACTACCACAACACTAAAAGACTTTTCTAGAACAGTGAAACTAAGCTTAATAGGTGAAAAGTTATTTTTAAAGAAATACAGATGCAGCCTTGATTTAAAGGTCACGTGCTCTGTAAAGGAATCCAGTAAGTACCAAGCACCCTACTCCCCGGGTCACCACGACAGAGGCAGCCTACCCAGGAAGACAATCTTCCCATCCCTGAGGAGGGCCACACCGTCGGACTGCAGGATGATGAACGCATTTAAACAAGACACGAGGAGTAATAAGTTCTTCCAGTCCCCCCCAACCCCAGACACAAGATGCATTATCAAGATGCAAATTGTTAAAAAGAAACTTAACAACTGTCCGTGAACTCTGAACCCTGCGCCAGATCAAGGCAAGCACTGTAGAGAATGCCGTCCTATGAGGATGTGACTTAACATGGGATTTATCACAGGACTGCCTTATTTTCAATAAGCATGTTCAGCCAGTGAGATGCAGATATTTACATGTGAACCATTGATTGTATAGTACGGAGGTTCAAATGAATGAGATGATTCCAATTCTCTGCATGCAACCTGATGTTTGCCATGCCGCCACTGGCAAAATCCTAAAGACAGAGCTTCAGTCTCAGTTTGAATAATGTTTTCTCAAGATCTGCTAAGGGCAACTATCAAGAAATGGAAATCTGGAGATAGCACAGAAACAGATCATGTAATAACTTACAAAACTAAACAGTAACGTTTAATTCCATTACTGCAAAAGATTGGTTTTTCTTAAAATTCCTTGAAGATATTTTTAAAAGGGCATATTAATATTTGAAAAATAATCAAACATCGGCCTGAAACACTATTCAAATTTCAAAACTACTTTAAACATTTTGAAAAAAGTTGCTAAAATAAGCTTCACAAACATCGTGATCACAGAAGTCGCCATTTTCTGAACTAAGCATTTTATATACACCACCTCATTTCATGTTATGAAGTAGGCATCAACATTCCCACTTTCTACATGTGGAAATTAAGCCTCATATGGTTAAGTTACATGCTCTGGGTCTCTCAGTTGATAAATGGAGATGGGAATCGATTTCAGTTTCAAGTGATTCCAAACTTCTATCACACCGGTGCTTCCCAACTTCATCCCATCGGAGCACACACTGAAAATGATGGTGTCTGTGAGGCCCGGTAAGCTGGAGGGCTTGGTGAAAATGATGTATGTTTTCTATACATTATAAAATCATGACAGGGAAAATAAAACAAGTAGTACAGGTGCTATTAAATGTTAATTGGTACAAATCTTCCAAATGAAATATTTCAATATGAAATCCAGAAAGTTTACAGAGGGAACCATACAAAAAATATCATTTCAACTGTGGTAATGAAAATTATTTAAATTTTCAATTATTTAAAAATTTCCAAACAGTGTACTCTGTCTGCCATCATGCACTGCACCCTGGTCGGGAGGCTTTGCAAAATGTAATTCTGTCTTTCTATAGAGTATGATGATCGAACACTGAATGGGCATATCAAGATCCTCCCAATAATAGATCTATAGGAAATTCAAACCAAAGGCAATCAAAGGGTTGTAACACTGAAGTCTTCCTTAACACGGCCCCATTAGTTTCTTAATCCGATTCCACAGAACCTGTAATCTACAACATTGATTTGCTATAATAACAAAAACAGCTGCGCTCTACTTCACTTGTTATCATATTTACCCCTCCCAGCAATCCCACGAAGTACCCCTATTTTCTCCACTTTAAAAAGGAGGAACTGAGGCAGAGAGAAACTATAAAATACCCTTCCCAAAGATAGAGGTGGTAAATGGGAACTGGAATTTGAAGCAGTCTGATGTCAGAGCCTGCGTTGTTAATCATTATGCTAACTTACATCCCTGCAAAGAAGAAAATACAGTAATATTAACAAACATCTACTACGTCCCAGGAGAGACAAGGGCAAGTAAATAGGTCTCAACTTAGACTGTGTTCAGTAGCTTCGCAGTGATGAAGTAAGAATAACTTACATGTACATCCAAGGAGGTATTCTACAACAGAAAGAAAATTCTTCGTATACTGGGATGGGTGCCTGCTGCTTAGAGAAACAGCAAAGAAAACCTGAATTTCATGTATGCGTTCTGATACGGCTTAAGCGAGAGCATTCGTATCTGTAACCTATTTGAATTGGTTGATTAAACTTACTCAAGAATTTTTTAATCTTACTTAAGACAATAAAACTGATAAAAAATTAAAAGCAGATGCTTTAGTACTTCGATTTTTACTTAACTGCTTCTGAAGTTCCCCAAGTCATCATGTGCTTCATTTTGTTTTTAATTAAATGCACTATTTATAAAACCCTGAGTAAAGGTTTTTGCAGATATTCAGACAAATTCTGATTGCTCAAGTTCTGCCTCTGCCAAATCCTGCCACTTGGAAGAAAGCCTCGAGTTTACAGCTGTATTACACAGGCTCACTTCCTGAGGGGATCTCCGACGGTAAATGGAAATCAAAGCACTCACAGCAGAGGACGCACACCTTTAATTTCAGAGCCCATCCATCGACACAGAAATGCTAATGCCTCCAGCAGCGGCTTTTATGGAACACCCGAAAGACCCCACGGAGCAATGCCCAACATGAACAGTAAAGAGCACCTACTATATGCCAGGGACCATGCTCATTCACAAATGATACTGGTCATGTAGAGAGTGGCTGTCTAGAACTACAACTTGAATTCATGCTTTCTGAAAGACTAGGTATTCAAACTGAAGCTCCAATGTGTAACTTTCCCCCTACATCTAAAAGCTGCTACCCCGGCCTCTGCAAATCTACAAACCCAAACAGGTTAACATGGAAACAGTAGCATGGGCCTGTCTGGCTTGGCTCAGTGGATTGAGTGCCAAAGGGTTGCCAGTTCAATTTCCAGTCAGAGCATGCGCCTGGGTTGTGGGCCAGGTCCCCCAGTTAGGGGCTGGCGAGAGGCAACCACACATTGTTGTTTCTCTCCCTCTGTCTCCCTCCCTTCCCCTCTCTAAAAACTCAAAAAAAAAAAAAAAAAAAAAAAAGGACCTAGAGAGTAGCGTGGGCACCCAGGACATCCTGGAGTTACAAAACTAGGTTACAGTAGCATGCCTCTGCTAAAGCAACTTTTTCTCAAAAATCAATTATTTTAAAAAGGAGAGTTCTGCTTACAGAAACCATTAGTCACGGGTATTTATCTCCAACAGATCCCTGGAAAATATGTACAGTGAAAAAATAGAGCTTGATTTATTGGTAATCTGATACTAGAGTACTTACCGGGTTTACTGCACCTCTAGAAGCCAACCTCTCAAACAACTTAAAACCAATCACGCTGAGTAAAATACATGACTGGACCTAAAAGCCACTTAAATCGAATGTGGGTTGAAAGAAACAGTAATTCCAGAAGCAGGTGTTTTTAGTTTGAAGAGACTGAAAAGACAAAACCAGCTCACCAGAACCAGACGTCTGCCCTGGTCTTTACAGTAAGTGTACCCAGCTCCGTACTTGAGCCTAAGACAACTCCATTCCCACCGCACTTCACCCCCAACAATTGTTCAGCAACGACCAACGTGGACTATATTGTCCACTATGCCTTTTGCCACAAACCGCAAGCAAGACTTCCTCAGCTCACACCATCTCCCCTTTATAAAAACAAGGGAAGGGGTTATAAAAGCTTTAAGAGAATAAAAATGATAGAAGGTGGAAAAGTATAGACAGCCTCGGCAACAAGCTCTCCTCCTTCCCCCTGAGAACTTGACACTGAGCTCCACCACACGCCGTCATGTTACTGGGTAAGCCAGGGTTCTTCCACTTTCCCAACAGTTCAAAATGCCCACTTTCCATCAAATGACAGGATCTTTCTGTGACTACTCTGGTCCAACCCCCGTGTTTATATTAATCATTCAAGCCACCCGGCTCTATCCCGTCCTAAAGCATCACCACGCTCCAATCTCGCAAAAGCCCTTGTACAAAACCCCAAACACTCTACCCCATCCTCCTGGCTACCAACACACTCCAACCCCTTGCAAAGCCTTCCCTAATATCCTTCCCTTCCTTTATGAGCTTTTCTTGTACATCTAACACAGTCTCAATGTCCTATTTCCCCACACCCCCAACCTCTCTTCGCTAAAAGCAAATTCCAGCACGGACAGAGTCACACCCTCCAGCCTAATTCCTACAACCTGAAAACCCCACCCCCTCAGCACGTCCTCCGAAGCCTCCCCACCCCAAGCCGTCACGCCCTCCACCCCTCCAGGGATCCTTTCCGCCAGCCCGGGTTGACTCCCCCAAGACCCCCAAGGGCCTAGGCCCTCCCGAAGGGGCCGGCAGCCCCGCCCCCAGGCCCTCACCGAGGAGCAGCAGCTTCACTTCTTTAGCCGCTTTCTCCCCGTCTTCACGCAAGTTGCGGTCGATCATCTTACTCCGCTCCACCGCCGCCTTGTCTTCGGCGCTCAACGTGCAGCCCATGGCGGCGGCGGGAGAAACGACCGGGCCCGGACTCACTCAAACACCGCGGGGACTGCGGGACGGCTGGCGGAGACAACGTCTACTGCTGGGCGGCGGCCCTCTCAGGTCCGGGAGCGCCCGGAGAAACCGGATATCCGGCGTTTGCGACACTTCCGGCAACGCCCCGTGGCCGTTCACGCTGAAACTTTTTTCGCTGGGGTAGTGGAGGTGCATACGGAAGCGGAAGTACCGGGAGGGGAACAGCTTAGCCTGGCGGGGAGAGGGGGGGAGTTCTGCGAGCTACTCAGGTGCCTTGAAACTCGCATCAAGGCTACTCGGCTTTTAGGCCTGTTTCCTATTTTGGGCTGTTATTTGGATTAATGTAGAAAAACCGGAGACTGGATTCATCAGTTTTCGGCGCCCTCCCAGAGTCACACGGCCCGCCTTTAGATGAGGGTTGGTGGGGGGATTCCCAATAAAAGCTCACAACCCGCACGGGAATTTCTGTTGGGACTTTCACACTGGCGAAACCCGGGGTCCCTGCCCAAGTGTAGGACTGGTTACTTGCTGATCTACTCAGCTATTATCCATGGGATGGCCACACTTCACATCTGAGATCCGTAAGACCCACCATGCCTAGGACTTTAGCGATCCCTTTCTGCCATCGCTGACCCCAGTCGCTGGTCCTTGTGCCGTTACGTGCAAATTTCTGTGGTCTGGACAGTTGCCCAGTTACTATGTTGTTGGCAAAGGGCCACTTGAAATTGCTGGCAGATACTACATGAAAGATAAGAGTGTAGTTCCAACATAAAATTCCCGTGCTGCCTTTCCCAATATAAGCCAGTTTTAGCACTCACAGGTAGTTCTGTGTTTGGGGCTTAGGACTCCCATCAAGATGAGTCAACCTCAGTGCCATACCCCCAAAACAAACCAGTGCAACCTATGAATCTCCTGAAATTTCCTGTTGCGGTCCCACACGAAAAGGGAAGTTCGAGTCAAATGTGACTTTCAGTTCGAGTATCACTTGAAAATTAATAAACCTCCTAGGAAAGCCTTCTTCATTCATAATCCTGGAGACCACTATGAAGATGACCCTACATTACTTTTCCTCCTAATAGCCCCATAAATCCTCTTCACCATATAGTCTAGGGAGGGGAACTCGTGTGGCCCCCAAGAACTTTTTCTGTGATTAAAAATGATTTCCCTGCCCTGGCTTGTGTAGCTCAGTGGATTGAGCAGGGGCCTGCAAACCAAAGAATTGCAGTTCAGTTTCCAGTCAGGGCACATGCCTGGGTTGCAGGCCAGTTCCCAGCAGGGGATGCATGAGAAGCAACCATACATTGATATTTCTCTCCCTCTCCCCTTCCCTTCTGAAGATAAATAAATAAAATCTGAATAAAATAGAATTATTTTTTTAAAATGATCTCACTAATAGAATACAGTATAAGCATCCAACAGAATGGTCTATATGGCAATGATTCCATAATTAGAAAGGTTTTGTAAGAGCCACCTTAAATGGCCTCAACCCGCACAACTTAATGCCAGCTTTTCAACGTTGGAAAAGACTCTTCCTGTTCATTCCTTAATGACTTAGAATAAAAAGGACTGCTTTCCCATAACAATACTTATGGGGGGGGGAGGGCAAGAGGAAAGGAAAGGAAACTAATATTGTTCAGTGCCTATTTGCCAGGTATGGCCAGGTGCTTCCACGAGTCATCCCGCAATCCTCACAACAGCCCTGTGAGGCAGGTGATGTCGCCCAGTTTGTTAGGGATGAGGAAATGGGCTCAGAGAAATGAACATCTTTCCCAAGTTCACGGAGTGAGTCAGTAGCTCTGTCCGACACCAAGATTTACCCGCGTCCCATCAAGCCACCGACAGCAGACGGTTTTCCTATGGGATTGAGTCACCCCAACAGCAGGGGGCAGGAGAGAGGAGCCGACCCACAGTCGTTCAACCTGCTGACCCTTCAGAAAGGACCAACTTTCACAGCCAAGGATTACCAATCGAACTTTACCAACCGATCCTGGTGACTAGAAAACGGCTGGAAGCTGGTCACGGCAGAAACTGCTGGGAAAGTTCTTAGCATAGTAGAAGAGGAATGTTTATTTCCTACACGACCCATTCAGGGAAAAATAAATGGCGAATGAACCAGCCTATGTCAAATTCTGTAATACATGCCAGTGAGCTCACAGTGTCAGGAAATTTCAGCCTGAATTAGAGTCATCCTTGTGCTTAAAGTTTCCTCTTTGATGTATGGGAAGGGCTCTAGGGCAAAGGCAGAGGCAAAGGCAAAATAAATTAATAAAATGGCTGCCAAAGTTGAATGCCTCCCCTACCCCACCCCCACCCCATACAGGCGCCTCTCCGTTTCAGCGGACTCATGCTGCCACCTAGTGGCAGTGCTTAGGTATTACAGGAAGATCAATGGCGTTTGGAAGAGTTTTTTTTCCCCTGCCTGTGAGATTCCGCCGTTATTTCATCTCAAAAGGGAAGAGAGTGGAGAACATGTTTGGCAATCACAGAAGACTGCCCTGGGTGTACATAGTATCTGAGGAATTTCCTCAGTGTAATGGGTGCTGCACTAGAGTACGTCTCGTGGCAGAAGACAAAAACGTGGATTTTTTCCTGGGTCTAAAAGGGGGAGAGCAATTTCATTGAATAACTTTTTTTCCATCTAGGGTTTCTTTTTACAACCCGCACATTTTCCACAATCTGCAGGAAACCTCCACGGCTGCAACAGTCTGAACTCTCGGAAGTTAGAACCAGAAACGTAGTCTGCGGTGTATTTTTCACACCGCTCTCTATTGCTTTCCCACATGTAAACACTCTGTAAATACAAGGTCAAACTAGACTACACACTCTTTGCAGACAGTGGTTCCCCATCGTCCATGTGGGGCCCAGAGAATATCGAGTATTTGACTGTGATGCACTGAATTGAACTGAAGGAGTCGATGTTGGTATTGGTATAACTTTTATAATAAAAATTATTTATTAGCTGTTCAAAGGGGAAACTATCCCACTCCCAGCAGGCCATCTTCCCCTTGGATGCTCAGCGAGCCGGGGATTTGTGCAACTACAGAGTGCACCACCCTCTCGGTCCTGCCTCAACCTTGCAGTGTTACCCGACTCAGCTGAGGGAGGTGGACGGACGAGTAGTCCCAGTAGACATCCTGTCCAGTGTGCAGTTTCCCCCCCTCCCTTGAAAACATTACCCCAACACCGACTAACACAGTTCCTACAGCGTTGGTCAGTGGGCACTGAGCCCCGCTCCTGTGGCCCATCTCCAACCCAGGGCTCCAGGTAGGAGAGAGATTGAAGTCTTTGTCACTGAAGCTAATTTTGAGATCTATGCATGGGAATAGGGAGGCGTTGGTTTGATGGACCATGAAAACCCCACCCAACCCGTTCCCAACCTGAGTCTCTGCACCCAGTTGTCCGGGGGGCTGGAGGTGGGTCATCGCCATGAGGGAAATCGGGGAGGCCAGTCCTAGAAAACAAAAAAGGTTTACAGTGTGGTCGGTGAGAGCCATCGCCTGGCCTCCCTGCGTCCAGCCACCTTAGCAATTCAAATGCTGACACCCACCCTCCGCCATCCAACCCCGAATCCTTCCACTTCTTCATCCTAAAAGGCAAAGAGAAAGAGCCACCCTGTCTCATTCTCGCCTCTGCTGAGATAAATCCCTGTGTGCGGGACAGAGGCGGGGCAACACAGCAGAAGGGCGGCTCCCGGAGGTGGGAGGGGTCGCTGCAGCCAGCCCTCCTCCTCCCTGCACCCCGCTTGCTCGTTCCCATTGCTTCTGTCCAAACCCAGGAAAGGACTATCTCCGGCTGGGCCTCTCGCTTTAACAAAACCTCAGGTCTAAAACTAGAAAGAGATCTGTTTACTCAGATCAAAACACTTTGCTGTAAGAGTCCTTTTCAAACTGAGCAAGGAGACAAGAGGACACTGCCCTGGACAATGACACGGAAAAACAAAATGTCCTAAAGGGTCCCCAGAGTAACGTCAAACCCAGCCCACTGCCCTATACCCTCCGACCCCTATGCTAGAGAGTTTCCTGCCTCCAGAAGCGTAGGAAGTTCCCTGCTTCAAAGACATCAGTCATCTCACCTTCGTGACCCTTTCCTCTCGTCACCATCTCACCAGGCTCCCTCCCCCAGTAGTCAAGGATCACAGCCATTTCCAAGGCTTTGGCCACATGTCCATCCTGTTGGCTCTGTTCTGGACCAGAAAACACTAAGTGTGCACAGACCCCAGCCCCCGCTACTGGGGAAGGCAGCCCTGCAAGGTGCTCCGTGCGGTCCTAACCCACCCCCAGTCCCTGCTCCCTTCGGGGGTCCAGCAGCCCGTCAGGATTCAGGTCGAGGTGAGGGGGCAGGACGGAGGTAGCTGTCTGACGTGATGATGTCACTGGTGAGCTGTTGCTCCAGGAGTTCGGAGGTCTCCTCAGCTATCTGGCCCGGAATTCGGAAGTCAACGGCCGCTAGCTCCTGCTTGGGGCTGGGGAGGGGTCGGGAAGCCCAGGACTCGGTGGAACAGCCTGTGCCCTGAAGGAACTGCAGGAAGTTCTCCTCGATGGAGCCCTCCCGGCTAGGCAGCCTCAGCTCCTCCTCCGGAGCCTGCTTGAAGAAGCAGACAAACTGCTTGCTGAGCTCCCCCCGGATCTGCCTATTGAGACATCCGTAGAAGAAAGGGTTGGAAGTGAAGCAGAAGTAGCCGATCCACGTCACCACGTTCTCCACCTGCCCAGTGGACATGGGCTGAGCACTCAGGGCCACGTAGAGGTGGAAAGAAAAGTAGGGCAACCAACAGAGCAGGAACTGTCCCCCCACCGCCAGGAGGACCACTGCGGCCTTCCCGCCCCCAAACGTCCGGTGCGGGGTGGTCTGGTGGGCCCCCGAGCTGGTGACCATGGTGGAGCGGCTGCTGAGAGACTCCGAGCGCTGCCGGGGCGTCTCCATCCACGTGGGCAGAGGTCCGTGCTGCATGGCGGCCACGCGGGCCACGCGGAACATGCTGCAGTAGACCACCAGGATGAGGAGCAGGGGCAACAGGAAGTACAGGACGGCGAAGACCACCACGAAAAGCTGGCAGTAGGCACTGCGGCTCCATTGGAGTGAGCAACCCGGGGGCAGGCTGGGAGCTCCCTCCTCCCGGGAGACCCTTCCCAGCACTGGCACGGAAGCCACGGCCAAGGCCTTCACCCACACACCCACCAGCACAGAGGTCACCAGCCCCAGCGTCATGCGCACCTCGTAGCGCATGGGGTGGACCACGTAGTAATAGCGCTCCACGTTGATGGCAGACACCGAGAGAATGGCCAGGCTGACGAAGCAGACGCTCAGGAACAAGTAGACGCGGCAGGCGACCTCTCCAAAGAGGTCGTGGTCAAAGAGGGCGGAGCTGGAGAGCATGGCCAGGGGCATGAGGGTCAGGGCGGCCAGCAGGTCCACCAGGCAGAGGTGGAAGACGAAGACAAATTTTCGGAGCGCCGGTGTCTTGGCGATGACGGCCATCACCGCGGCGTTGCCAGCCACCGCGGTCAGGTCCAGCAGGAGCATGAAGAAGAGGGCCACGGATTCCGAAGCCACGTCCCGCAGCTCCGCCTCGGGGACCCCACTGGCAGTGGAGGGACCGGGGATTTGAGGGGCCCTCCCCAGCATGGAAGAGTTCCCTGATGACTGGGGGATGGGCGAGGACTCCATGGGGCCGAAAGAGGACGCCCAGGGCACCTCCTGTCACAGGCCCATCCCCCATCCTAGTCCAGTGATCCTGGGATGGCAAGCCCAGGCCCAGGCTTCCCGGTGCTGGCGGGGCGGGCGCCTCCCGCCGGAGTCCCACGGGCAGGCTTTCGTGGGCAGCCTTGGAGGCTGGGTCGCTGGTCCGCAGCTCCCGGCCAGAAATGGAGGGCTCAGGAGCGCATCTCTCCGCGGGGAGGTGGCTCGGAGCGGGCCCTGGTGACCGTGACCACGTGGGAGACAGACGCGACGGACGCAGGAGCCTCGCACGTTCCCCAGTGCACTTGCCTACTGGCCTCGGGCTCCTTCCTCACTACGCTCTCTCCTCCAGCGCCCGGCCCAGACGCTTCGCCCCTTTCCACGGCGGTCGCTCAGCGAGTCTGAATCCTCTGCTCTCCTCTCTCAGGGTCCAGCTGAGCTCTGGGCAAGGCCCCGGTTTGAAAAGTCGTTGCTGTGAATTGCCTGACTTCTTGGCTTCTCCGAAGGGGGGCGCTGTTGAGGAAGAGCACGAGTTCTCGCTTCCAGTCCCAGGGCTGGGGCGTGCTCACTCGGGGACCCTTCGGAACTTCGGTGTTTTCATAAAGGCATCTGCAAATTGAAGGGAATGATACCTGCTTCACAACCATGTTCCCAGGATCCTGTGAGACTCACTAATAAGAACACGAATCGTAAGCAGTGACATGATGCCACGCCAGGCCCTATTCTAAGCATTCTGTGTATTAACCCATTTCAATGCTCACGCAGCCCTGACAGGCAGATGTGATTCTTATTCCCATTTTGCATTCGCTGAAATAGAGGCCTAGAGAGGGTAAGTAACTTACCAAAGGCCACACAGCTAGTAAGAGGCAAGGTCATGGTACCCCCTCAGGCAGCCTGGCTCCAGGGCGGGCACTGCAGCCCTCCGTGCCTTGCTGAGTTCAGGGATGCCCCAGACAGGGCTGGAATGTGTCGTGGACATTCAGTGAGTAGTTGTTGAATTTGAACCTTCTCTGAAAATGTCTCTCGCCGCTCTGGGGCTACCACTGGGAAGAGGTCCCCTAAGGAGGGGACGGACTGTGCTTTAGTCTACTCTGACAACACCACCCCAAGACAAAGAGCTGACACTTGGGGGGTGTGAAGAAGGGACAGCCAAACAAAGCACCCCAGCTGGAGCCTCTGCTACTGCCCAAGCTGGACGGGCCAAAGTCACTAGAAAGCTGCCTTGGTCCACCCACTCACTAACTTCTCAAGAGTCCTGTTCCTGCAGGTGGGAGAGGAACACTTCTAACCTCCACCCTGCCAGGGCTGCAGATCTCTGGTCACTGGAGGTGACCACCGGAGGACCCCTGGCCCAAAGCCCCCTTGGTCTAAGACAGTTCCCACATCACGGAACAGGGAGGAAGAGCAGGCATCTGCGCACAGTGGGGTGGGTGTGAGAGTGGGCGGATGCCTGCAATCGTGAAAGTGGGTGAGTGTGAAGCGGGGAAGGGACCCGGAGAAACCGGGAGGGCAAGTCTGGGGTGCCAGCGTCCCTCCGGTCTCCGATCCGACGGCGGGCCAGATCTGTTCCCTGTGCCTGGTTACCCACGCCGAGTTCGCAAACAATGGAAATAAGTTGCCCAATGTCATTTTCAATTTACTTCATCTGCATGTGCCGTTCCTGCTGTCCACAGCCCCTCGGTACACGGTGCTAAGGTGTGCGACTGAGAGGCAAGCTGGGGACGGGCACCTCGGATGGGCTTTCTATAGCCAGGTCACTGAGGTTCCAGTTTCCTCATCTGTGAAAAGGGAGGGGTGGGCTGGATGACCTCCAAGTTTCCCACCTCCGATAACATTCGATGACCCCAAGAGCTCCTGGGCTCCAAGGGGCCTGACCTGGGGGCTCACTCGGTTTGAAAACCCACCATTTCTCTGACTTCAATAAAGAGGACCACGTGGGGCAGAGGGGTCCCAGCCCCCCTCCGCAGTCACAGCCAAAATCACCATAGCTCGGGGGCCTCGCCAACAACCTTGCCCTAATGTGCCTTCTAGCACAGTAGTAGGCGCTCGGGGCAAGGTGGCAGGCCAACTGAATCAAACTGGATGGGCCCGTGGCGCCCGTGGGGCCCCTGCCGCCTGCACCGGCTCCAAGAACACTCGGCCAGCGGGCTGCGTGCCCGCCTCCCTCCTGGAAAGGGTGACCTGGCCTCCCGGACTCGCGGCAGCCCTAACTTCGGACAACGGCCTGGAGACAGGACGCTCCGGGGGGTGGCAAGAAAGCTCATCCCACAGCTAAAATGGCCACACAGACCCCGAGGCTGCAGAGATGGCGGAGAGGTGTCCCTGATGTGGGGACCACGGCTTCTTGTAAGACAGTCTACCCCGGGGGAAAATGCCCAAAGAAGCACGAGGAGAGGCACCCTTGCCCCTCCCGGTCCGTGTCTTGCCTTCGCAGGGCCCCTGTCCCTGGGAGAGGCCTTGGGGGCCGAAGGAGCAGAGGCCCATCAGGTCTGCGAGGACACCAAGTCTGCCAGCAGGGCCCAGAGGGTCCCCATCCCAGACAGGGCTGCCACATGGAGGGAGCTGGCGGGCAGGTGCTGGGCAGCTGTAACGGCCCCAGACGGGAAAGCTTCGGACATTTCTCTTCTCCACGGCTCCCTCGGCCTCGCCGGGGTCTCCATGCTGACTCCTAAATTCCAGGATTTCAGTTTCTCTCCTAGGCCCTGCAGTGGTAGGCCTGCCCCTGGCCGGCCCTCACCCTCAGGACCGGCTTGGTGTCCGAGGGAGGTCCTGGGGCCTCAGGCCTCCCCCAGCTCACATCATCACGCCTTCTCGGACGCTCTGGTCTGCTGCTTTCTTTCTGCTCCCCCCTCTTCACCTCAAGACCTCTGGTACCTGAAGGAGGCTTTGCCACCTCAGGGCCTGGGTCTGGGTCTCCAGCAGGGACATGGTCAAGTTACAAACACTCTCATTTCTGGGTGGAGGATGCACGTCAGTGCCCAGCCCAAGGCCACGGAGGCTTCCATAGACTTCCCATGCACTTGTCTCCTGGTCACGGAGCTGCCATCCTAGGGCCGGAGCCCGGCCTTCCTTCAGACAGGCGCATGCCCCTCCTAAGTCCGGGGAGGGTTCCGGGCCCTGCAATGCCTCTCCCCAGCAGAGTGGCCCCCGCCCAGGACAGAGTTGCCCATCAGCCTGGATGCCCAGGGACCCATTCCCAGGAGGTGGGGGACCCATTGCTCTGATAGGGAATGAGATGGATGGAGAACACTGTCTGCCTGTGGAACGTGGGTACTCCTGTTGGCAGAAGATCAACCCCCCATCTCTAGGCTTTGGAGATGCCCACACCCCAAGGCTGCCTTCGGGATACCTGGGAGCCATCCCTGGCATAAGGTAGAGTGGGCTGGTCCCTGGGACACAGAGCCACCCTGCCGTAGGGCACCTCAGCCCCCAGCCCCGGCCCCAGGACTAGCCCCTGTTCCTGGCCTAGTCGGCAACTCCTACCTTTGCCGAGCAGCTCCAGGTCCCCATGTGATAGCTCCTCCCGGCTGATGCTTCTCCGAGGCTGCTGAAGCCACTGCAGCAAGCACGAGAGGCAGCCGGCAGAGCGCGATGCTCGGAGAGCTTCTGGGTCCTAACGGCCTCCTACTTCCCACCCAGCCCCTCAGAGCCACTGCAGGGACCAACCCCCAGCCCCCAGGCAAGGCACCCAGAGCAGGACCTGCCCTTCCCACCTTCCTCAAGCCGCTGAGTGGGGCCGCATGATGGGATGCAGGGGAGACCCTCCAGGTCACCCAGATGAAGAAGAAGGTGTCCGGTCAGATGTCTGGCATCAGACAACCCAGGTTTAAGGCCCGCTGCTGGCGCTTTCTTGCTATATGACCTTGGGCAAGTCACTTCCCGCGTCTGGCCTGAGCTTCTTACACGTTCAAAGGCACACAGGACAGCTGATCCCTGAGGCTCCCGACAGCTCTGGGTCTGCATGGTTCTGGGAGACCTCAGAACCAGGGTGCTTTGGAGCAAGCCAGTCAGCACCGACAGAGCCTGGGCCGGCCTGGCAGGGGCTGAGGCTCCCGGGGCGGGCCCAGGCCTGGCTCCCTTGGGTGCCAGCGCATGTGTGTGGAGGGCAGGTTTCAGAGTGGTGGTCAGGTTTTGAAGGGTGCTGAAGGCCCTTTCCAAGCCCTGCCCGTGCCCCTCAGAAGCACACTGTTACTGTGTTCTTAGCCTGTGTATGTACTTGGTGGGTAGCTGTGGAAGCTGATGGAAGTGGAATCTGACACCCTCGCTCCCTAAAGGCAGAGGGAAGTTCTTGGGAAGCCTCCAGAGGGGTGGTCGTCGGGCTGGGCAGAGTTGGAGGGTTGCGTGATGCGTGCTGGGAGTGGAGAGGAAGGGGCGTGGCCTCCCACTAGCCATGAAGAAAATGGTCCACACCCCGAGGTGCAGGGCTGACCCCCAGGACAGGAGCCTAACATTGCAGAGCCATGAGACATCCTACGGCCAAGATGTCCGTGGGAGGCCAGGGAGGGGAGAGGTTGCCCAAAGCCACACTTGGCGAAGCCCTGGGCTTAGACTAGAGCTGCCAGCATGACACCCACTACGGAGCCCTCTGCCCTCGGACGTACCCACCCAGGAACCCCTTCTGTCTCCAGAACAGAAGAAAGAGAACGTTGAAATTACTTACCAGACCCAACCAAAGGGCCGTAAGAACGACCGATTGATTACTCAGGGAATTCCAGAAGGGGCGAGGCGGCTGCCCCGGGCTCCGGGCCAACAGCAGAGTCCACAGCCACCCCAAACCCACGCAGTGATCTCCTCCATCCCCAGCCGCCCTGTCTCGAGCCTTTTCCACGCTGTCCTGCAACCCTCACACCAGTTCTGGGAGGCGGCCACCACTCGCCTCCTTTCCCAGGTAAGGAAACGTGACCTCCCCCAGATCGCACGGTGGTAAGTGTCAGATCCAGAACGTGAACCCAGGTCCGTCTGAAGCCAGAGCAGCTACTCCTTCCCCCATGTGCCCACGGCCT